TTTTTGAGACGGAGTTTCACTCTTGTTACCCAGGCTGGAGTGCAATGGCGCGATCTCGGCTCACCGCAACCTCCGCCTCCTGGGTTCAGGCAATTCTCCCACCTCAGCCTCCTGAGTAGCTGGGATTACAGGCTTGCGCCACCATGCCCAGCTAGTTTTCTGTATTTTTAGTACAGACGGGGTTTCACCATGTTGACCAGGATGGTCTCGATCTCTTGACCTCGTGATCCACCCGCCTCAGCCTCCCAAAGTGCTGGGATTACAGGCGTGAGCCACCGTGCCTGGCTTCTAATACTTGCTTTTATCTGTTAACTCATTTAACCCCCACAACAATGCTGTGAGGTGAGGGGGATACTTTTTTTTCTTTTTTTTTTTTTGGAGATGGGGTTTCACTATGTTGATCAGACTGGCCTCTAACTCCTGACCTTGTGATCTGCCCGCCTCGGCCTCCCAAAGTGCTGGGATTACAGATTTGAGCCACCACGGCCAGCCAGGGTACTTTTTAAATATTCATTTTACAGATAAGAAACTGAGGCACAGAGTGACTCAGTAGCTTGCCCAAAGCAACAGAACTAAATTGGCAGAGTCAGATTTGAGCACAGGCAGTCGGTTTCCGAATTCACGCCCTGATTCTCTGACTGCTATTTTCTCATATTTGGAAGATTTACCTAAATATAAAAAGCATTTTGGTATGAGACAGACTGAGAGAAAATAGGGTTAATATCTCTAATATACAAAGAGCTGCTGGAAATAAAAACAAGAAAGACAAAAGCACCAAAAGGAATATGCAAGAGATATAAATTCATAGGCAATTCATAGGTGTTCAAAGGGCTAATGGACATTTAAAAAGGTGTTCAAAAACACTACCAAAATTCAGTTTAGATTATTAATGATACTTTTTTGCTCTTGTGAGAGAATTCACAGAACATTCAGCTGGTTAAAGTGCAAATTGGTTAGGTATGAGTTGACACGCTTGTATAAAAAAAAAAAGAAAATGCAAATTAGGGGTCAGTTAGGTGAGGTGGTTTACACCTTAATCCCAGCACTTTGGGAGGCTAAGGCAGGAGGATAGCTTGAATTCAGGACTTAAGGATCAGCCTAGGCAACATAGTAAGATCCCATTTCTACCAAAAACAAAAATTTAGTCTTGTGTGAGAAAATTACTTGAGCCCAGGAGTTTGAGGCTGTAGTGAGCTGTGATGGTGCCCCCTTGCACTCCAGCCTGGGTGACAGAGTGAGTCCCATCTCAAAAAAAAAAAGAAAAAAGAAGAAAAGTAAATTGGCACTGTAGGAATCTATTTTTTTTTTTAAGGTAGTACTACTGAATAAAGACAGAGGTTTTAAAATGTTCATTGAAACATTGAATAACAAAAGAAAAAAATCAGAATCAAACACCTTCAGGATGTTAAATAGTAGTACATGACAGATTATGGTATATCCATACAGTGACCTATTAGGCAGGCATGAAAAAGAATTTGAATGGTATAAGTATCATACTCTCATTTGGAATATGTTCATAGTATCCATGTATGTAATGTTTACATAATAGAAAGACATTTGGAATGATGGTCACTACAGAGTTATCAAATGCCTTTCTGGGATGGAGAGGTGAGGAGAGTAAGCACATCCTAACTTTTTTATCTCTTATTAATATGGTAGGATTACAGACAATTTTCCTTTCTTTCTTTCTTATGGACTGCCCCCCTCCCTCCCTCCCTCCCTTCCTTTCTTCCTTTCTTCCTTTCTTCCTTTCTTCCTTCCTCCTCCCTCCTTCCCTCCCTTCTTTCCTTTCTTTCTTTTTTTTTTGAGACTGGATGTCACTCTGTCTCCCAGGCTGGAGAGCAGTGGCATGATCATGGCTATCTACAGCCTCAACCTGCCTGGACTAAGATGATCTTTCTACCTCAGCCTGGGGCTGCAGGCTAGGACTACAGGTATGCATCAGGATGCCTGGCTAACTGTATTTAAAAATTTTTTTTGAGATGGAGTCTTACTCTGTCACCCAGGCTAGAGTGCACTAGAGCCATCTCAGCTTACTACAACCTCCGCCTCTGAGTTTTAAGCAATTCTACTGCCTCAGCCTCCTGTAACTGGTATTATAGGTGTGCACCACGACACCTGGCTAATTTTTTGTGTTTTTAGTAGAGTTGGGGTTTCACCATATTGGCCAGGCTGCCTCGAACTCCTGACCTCAAGTGATCCACCCACCTCAGCCTCTTGAAGTGCCAGGATTACAGGTGTGAGCCACCATGCCTGGCCAACTGGTGTATTTTTTTGTAGAAACAGTGTTTCATCATGTTGCCCAAGCTGGTGTCAACTCCTGAGGCTCACGTGATCCTCTCATCTCAGCCTCCCAAAGTGCTGGGATTACAGGCATGAGATATCATGCTTGGCTAATTTCTTTATTTTCTATTTTTGTTTCATTATATATATATATATATATATATCTCCTCGGTTGAGTAAGCATATATTTAAGAAGAAAACCAGATCAAAATGTTAATAGTATTATGCTTGACAGGATTTTATATTAACTGTCTCCTATCTTTTTCTATTACTTTGTATCAATGTCCTCTTCCTGATTTTCTGCTAAATCTTTGGCTCTTTTGTTCAATTGTATTCTTTTCTGTTTCTTGATTTGTTTCTCTTTGAGTGATAAATTGTGTGGGTTTTTTTTTTTCCAGTTTCTTGAAGTTGTGCCAATAAAACCCCACCACTGATTTGATTACATTTGGAGTAAGTTGTCTATTATATAGGAAAAACGGAAAATGTAAAATTTCAGACTTCTTTTTTACTCCTTTAATAGGATTCTCATCCCCCAATTACCTCCTACAGCACCAAGATTTTTCCTTTCAATTTTCTGTTAATATAAAATTCTTTTCTTTTTTTTTTTTTTTTTTGAGACAGTCTTGCTCTGTCCCCCAGGCTGGAGTGCAGATGCTGCAACCTCAGCTCACTGCAACCTCTGCCTTCTAGGTTCAAGTGATTCTCCTGCCTCAGCTTTCCAAGCAGCTAGGATTACAGGCATGCACCACCATGCCTGGCTAATTTTTGTATTTTTTTTTTT